CTCGCGTTCCCCAGTCGCATATTTTGGTACAAGGGGGCTCAGTCTCCCACTTCATCTTTGCGTTACCCTTCCTCATTGGGCGAGATGGCCATCATCGCCAATACCACAGCTTGCGCCATTGCCGCCGCCAGTGTCGCTTCCTGCGCCCTCGTCGATCTTTCCCAAACACTCTCTGCGTGCCACGATGCGCCCGCATCCGCTTCTCCGTTTCTCTTCAATGTCCTCGTCTCCGTCGTTCTCGCCTCGCTCGTCGCTCTCGCCGCCCTTGTCGTCGTAGTCGTCGTCGTCGCCTCGCAATGGGCCGGCATAGGTACCGCCGCTGCGTCCCCCTTAAACCAGCCCTCCGATGCGACCAAATCCGCCTCCGCCTCCGCCTCCGCCAACCCTTACGACGTCTTCCGCCCGGCGCCCGTTTCCCCCGCCAAGGCGCGTGTGCGGGCCGTGCTGAGAATTCTCATCCCCGCGGCTGTACGCGCAATCAACTGGGCGGGGCGGCAGTGCGTCGCAGTTGCGCCGTGGTTCCGTCCGCTGGACTGGCTGATCCCCTTCCGCGAGGACGCCATGCTGCGCTGCGCGCAGTGGTGCACGGGACTCTCGGACTTCGGCGACACGAGCTTCTTGACGGCCATGCGGCTCGCGGCGAAAGACGCGCGCGAAAACGCGAACCTGTCGACGTTTGGACGGATCGCCATCTGGCTCGACGTGCAGGTGAGACGCGCCCTGTCGTGCTCATTGACGGACTCCCGCGCATCGTCGCCAAATCCGCGCCGAATGATTCCATGTCGTAACTTCTCGTTTCTTTGAAATCTCCTCGTTGCTGACCTCTTGTCCGACCTACCGAATCTCGCCGAAGCAACCCAGCTTTTCCTGATGTAACATTCGCTAAGAAACCCTTCCTGTGTGTCGTCTCTCCAAATCCTAGATTCAATTCTTGGCGACCTCGTCCCCTTTGCTCACAGCGCCTCTCTCCTCCCGTTTTCCTCCCGTGCCCCTCGCGTGACTCGGCAGCGCCTGCTGCAGTGCAGACTGCACCTGGTGGAGCACCGCAAGCAACACCCTGAGATCGAGAATGAGCCCATCAAGGTGAGATTCTCTTGCGTTGCGGGTCTCTTACACGGGCGCGCGCGCGGCACACACTGACGCACACACATGCCACACGTTCGCACTCACAAACAAGCATAAACCAACAACAACATTTGTGAGCACACCGTACCAAGAGAGAACCATAAGTACCAGGGGTACTTATGCCCCGGAACCTGCCCTCTGCACTGCACCCTTCCTCCCTTCTCTGCACCCCTGCCTATAGCGAACCCACTTATCTTGTCTCCATCTCCCTCCCCCTCTCTCCGCCCTCCCTTCTCCCCACTCCCCACTCCCCTCCCCCCTCTCCTCTCTCTCCCCTCACCCCCTTCTTTTCTACCCTCCTCCCCCTTTGCTCTCTCCTGCCGGCGCGGCAGGCGCCGCTGGTGGTGCTGGGCATGCCGCGCACGGGCACCACTCTCCTCTTCAACCTGCTCTCGCTCGACTCGCGCACCTTCCGCACTCCGCGCACGTGGGAGTGCCACCACCTGTACCCGCCGCCGCAGCGCGCCACGTACGAGAGCGACGCGCGCGTGGGGCTCATGGACGAGTCGCTCTTTGCACTGGACGCACTCGTGCCGGATCTCAAGCACATCCACCACATGACAGCGCAGGGCCCACAGGAGACCTTCGAGCTCATGTGGTGCGCCCCGCCCTTCCCGCCTTGCGGCTGCCCCTCGCTCTGCTGATGCCCCTCGCCCTACTGTGCCTTGCCATGCTGTGCCTTCCTCTGTCCCCGCACTCCCCAGCTAGCTCACTCTTCCGCTCATCTCCGCACCAACCTGCCTCTCCATTCTTTTCCATCCACGCCGCCCATCTCGTCCCCGACCCCTCACCCTTCTCCCTCAAACCCCCAACCCCCCCCTCCTTTCCCCCCTTACCCCTCCCCCCAAACGTAACCAGCTACGACTGCACGTCGTTTGTGCTGCCGTTCGCGTACCTGCACGCACCAGAGTATCTCGACTGGTTCATGGCATCGCACATCACGCCCACCTACCGCTTCCTGCGCTGGCAGCTGCAGTACCTGCAGCACCACGGCCCCTCCGCCCCGCACTGGCTGCTCAAGAGCCCCGAGCACATCTTCTCCCTGCCCGCACTGCTGCAAGTCTTCCCTGACGCGCGCGTGGTGTGCACTCACCGGGACCCCCTGCGCGTGCTGCCCTCCGCCCACTCGCTCATGCGCTGCTTCCGCTCCCTCACCTGCGAGCGCGTGGATGATGCTACTGTGAGTCGCTGGGGTTTAGGAGGGGCTTGGGAAGAGGGGGGGTGCAAGACAAGGGGGGTTTGGGTAGGGGAGATGGTGGGAGAAATGATTGGTGTGGCAATGAACTGGGTAATACAACAGAGTTAAATGTACATCAGAGGTAGTACCTTCATCTCACAGCCAGCACAGCCGCGTAACAAGGCAGGGAATGAAAGGATATATTGTCCCCTTCGCAGCTTCCATGCTTTTTGGGCTTGCTGTTTATTTCTTGAACTGACATATGCAGCTCTGTCGCAAGCACTGGCAGCTAACGGCGAGTCCTCTTCCTCTCCCGTCCCCCATGCATGCATGCAGATCTCCACCCTCTGGGCCCCACATCTGGCTCGCGCTCTGGACAGCATGATAGCTCTTCGGGAGAAGGCTGCTGAGAGGGAGAAGATGCGGGCAGAGCGGGACAGCCGGAGGGAGAGCGACTTCCAAGACTCCTCCAGTGATGACTGCAGCAGCGTGTGCAGCGACAGCAGCCGCAGCAGCGGCGGATTGGGTAGCACGAGCACTGACTCTGACTCGGAGCAAGATGAGAATGTGGATGGGGATGATGAGAGCACTGGAGAGAGCGATCAGGAGCAGGAGGAGGGGGAAGACACTGGTGAGGGAGAGGATGAGGAAGAAGAGGAAGAAGATGAGGAGGAGGCAGAGGAAGAGGAGTGGAGGGCGTCGCTGGCAGTGGATGTGCTGTACCATGAGTTTGTGCGCGACCCCATAGCACAGGTGAAGCGCATCTACGCGCACTATGGGGAGGAGCTCTCCCCCTGGGCGGAGCACCGCATGCGCCAGTACCTCGCAGAAGATGCCAAGGTGAGCGTTGTGCCATGTGGGTGCACGAGTGGAGGGGGGAAGGGTGGGTCAGGGAAAGGTTGGGGATGGGTGTTGCAGTAGGGTCAGGGAGTTGCCGGAAGGTGCGTGAGATGAGTTCAAGGTGAGTTATAGTGAGTTCGTGTGCTGACCACCAAAGCCTGTTCCACAATCTGCCTTACCTGTAGCCTCTGGTCTTCTCACGCCTCCTGTTCTGTCGGGTCCTTGTTGCCGGTTGTGGCTGGCAGGAGCGCAAGGCGCAGCGCCACGTGTATCGGTGGGAGGACACCCACCTGGACAAGCAGGAGCAGCGCGCGCGCTTCGCTCACTACGTGGCACACTTTGGCGTGCAGCACGAGGCATGACGGCGTGCGGATGGGATGGGGCATGACGGCATGTGGATGGGGCATACGACATGCGGCGTGCGGCTTGGTCAATGCATGGGGATAGGGATATGGAATGGGAATGGGAGTGTGCTTGTGGTATGGAATTGAGGGATGAGAAAGGAAGGCACGGGAGGACGCAGGGCCGAGTCATGCAGGGTGACCAAGTCATGCACACTCTTAGGATGTGGATTTGCTGCTTGTTGTCTTGGGGTTTGGGTTTTTTTGAAGTGCTTGGGTCTGTTTAGTAAGGCAGGGGAGCAGAGTGTATGAGCCCCTCTTGTCTGGCTTCAGAGCTGCACATACCCTCTGGTGCTCTGCCACTGCCTGTACTTGTTTCTTATTTGTTTTTTCTACTTATTATATTAAAATGAAACTTGATCCTAAGGTTTTGCCCAAGCCGGGCGGTCTTAACTAGTGCATAAACTAGTTTGAGGTTGCATTCTGAGCAGGGTGCTGCTTATAATAGAATGGGAAATGGATGTTTTACGGTGCCTGGATTTTAAAAGGTGCATGGGATATGTTCAGAAAGTATACAGCTCTGTTTCTAAGTTGGTTGCGGTGTAGCATTTGCAAGCGCGTCTGACTTTATCTCAACGACCAGCCGCACAGTACACCCAACCATACAGATTTCAACACATTCACCCTGCCCTCCACCCTCGAGCCTCAGGGAGGGTCCGGAATGTATGAGTGCGGCTCAAAAAGGCTTAGTACAATCTAGAAAGGTCTTCTATATATCCAGAGTGGTTGGGTAGGGTATTTTGTAAGAACGTACTTTCAGGACGGGACTTGCCCTCAATCAACGCGAGTTGTGCGGTTGTGTCAAGTTGGCATGATCACCCACCACCACCACCACCCACCTCTTCCGCAGATCACACCCAACACCACAGCATAGCAAACATACACTCCATTCCACTCCACCACAGCAAGCACCATCCATCGGGACTTGCTTGCGACTAGGGAGGGACGCGCATCCTTCCGTTTGTGACCACTGCACCCTCTCTCGCCGCGCCTTCTTCGCCATCCTCCGCGTCTCTCGTCGCGTCGAAGTGTAGTCCTCTCGTCTGCGCACAGCCCGCGCTCGTCTAGCAGCACCGATGCGCCATCACCCAAGCTAGCAACCACGCGAGGCCGGGAGCCCGGAATCTCGCCTTGCCTCGTCACCGCGACATGCCGCCATGCAGCACCTCTGGCTCTCCCAGACCGCTGTCCTCCTCCGCCTCTGGTACCGCGCGCTCCTCGCGAAATGCCAAGAAGCCGCAGGATCCATTCGCGCTGCTGTCGCCGCCTCTGCTGCTGCCGGTGCCAGCGCCGGTAGCGGCGGCGGCGGAAGCGGCGCGATCCAGGGGCAAATTGGGCGGATAGGGCGGTTGGGGCGGGGAATAGGGCGTCAGATCGGCGATCAGTTGCGCAAGGTGCACCTGGGGGGACGCCGCCGATGGCTGTTTCTGAGCGTTTTCATACTCGCTTCCGCCACCATGCAGATGTCGTGGCCCGTGCGGCAGCAAGGGAAGCGACACGCCGCCACGGCGCTTCCGGCGTCCTCGTTACTGGCGGCGCAGCAGCGGGGCGGCGGGGATGACAGTAGCGGGGATGCGCGAATGATGGGTGATGACGAGATGCCGTTTGCGGACTCGCGTGATTGGACGAGCCAGCGGCGAGGGGGAGGGCGCGCAGAGGGTGCTTGGGGCGCAGCGGACAGAGAATGGGGAGGGAAAGGGGGAACGGAGGGACAGGGGGAGAATGTTAGCAGCAGAGTGGGCACGCAAGATTGGGTGGGAAGTCTCGTGGGTGGCGGACGGGTGAATGTGAGCGAAGGTGGCTTGGGTGCGAGTGGTGCGGTGGGGGGAAGGTCGAACAGGAGTGCGGAAGAAGCGGGGGTGCCGGTGGGGAGGAGCGCAGACGGGCCGGTTGGTGGAAAGGGAACAGCAATAGGTGGCGGAGAAAAGGGAGGAGAAGTAGGAAGGGGAGGGGTCGGGGGAGCGAGAGGGGTTGTGGAAGTGGGTGGGAACTCGGGTGAGTCTGGAGGGAAGGGAGGAGCAGGGGGAGGGGGCAGTGGGGCAGGAAAAGGAGTAGGAGCAGAAGGGAAAGTGGGAATGGTAGGGGAAGGAGGAAGTAAAGGAGGTGGGGGAGGACGAGGAGCAAAAAAAGAATCGGTGGAGGGCGGAATTGTGGAGATGAGCAGCGATGGGAAAGCTGGGGGTGGAGACGCAGGGGGTAGAGAGGCAGGGAACAAGAGTTTCTCCGAGGGAGAGGCGCGGTCTTATGGGTACTGGCGAGCAGGCGGCAAGGGCGGGGAAGCGGGGAGTTTGGACAGGGAGAGGCGAGGCGGGTCATTGGAAGGTGCAGGTGGCACTGGGGGGAATGGGCGGAGAATGGATGTGCGAGAGCGGTATGAGAAGGAAGGGAGGGACAAGGTGGCAGGTCGCGGATGGTGGGGTTGGGGGAGGGGGAGCTGGAGTGGAGGGGGGGGGGAAGGGGGAGAGAGGGGTGGAGAAGGAGAGTGGAAGAGGGGAAGTTGGAGGAGGAAGGGGGAATCGAAGTGGAGAGGCAGGGAAAGGTAGGGGAGGGGAAAAGGGGAGTGCGTGGAGGGATGGGCTGGGGGAGGGGAGCAGGGAGGCTTGGGCGAGGAGGGAGAGAGAAGGAGAGGGGAGGGAAGCAGCGGAGAAGAAAGGAGGGGAGAGTGCAGGAGGGGAGAGTGGAGGGAAGAGGGAAGCAGGATCGCAGCGTGAATGGGGCAGCAGTGGGAGTGAAGGGAGCAGTGGGGGTACAGCTAGGGGCAGGGGCCCACCGGGGAGAGACGGCTTGAGTCATGGACTACCCCAAGCTCCTCCGGAGGGATGGGGCACACACACGCAGGGAGGAACAGAGGAGGGCAGGCTGGGGAGGGATTCGCGGAGTGGGGAGCATGGCGGGCCCAGGGACGAGAGGGAGCTGTGGGAGGAAAGGAGGCGGGACCAGGGGGGGCATGGGTCGGGGGGGCGGGAGAGGCAGGACGCAAGTGGAGGTTATTCCGTGAGGGGTAGAGAAGGGCCAGGGACGTACGTGGAAGGCAGGGGGGAGGAAGGAAAGGAGTGGGCGCGAGGAGTGAGGGGAAACGTTAGCACTGCACTGGGTAGGAGTGGTGGGATGGGGGAGATGAATGGCAGTGCACTGGTGGATAGGAGGGGTGCAGGTGCAGTGGTGGGCAGGGGCGCCATGGAGGGCCCAGCAACGCCAGCAACACCAGCGGCACCAGGAGCACCTGTGGGGGGACCGGGAGGATGGTCTGGGCTAGCAATGGGGAAAACAGGTGCAGGAGGGGTGCAGGCAGGGGGGCTACAGGGGGGGGTGGAGAGAGGGGCAGGAGGGGCTGTGGGAGGGGCAAGAAGCGGGGCTGTTTCGGAAGCAGATCGTGGGTCGGGGATAGGGGAAGGAGGTGGGGGAGGACGGGGAGGAGGAGGAAGGGTTGTGGAAGGTGCAGCATCGGCGGAGGCATTGCCCGGGGCTTCAGTGCAGCCTGACGTGCATGTGGTGGCAGAGGTGAGGTGCATGCTTCCATTCAGTGTGTTTCAGTCATGGGTTGTGCTTCCACAGAGATAAAGTATGGCAGTTCTCTCTCCGTTGCTGCATCCTCTTCCCCTCCCGCCATCCCCTCCCATCAAACCTTCTTCATTCCCAACACTTCCTAGAAGCACCGTCCTCCACCCAAGCACAACCCACCAACTCCCATCACAACGACCACCTACCCTCTCCCCTACCTTCCCCACCCTCCGTTCTACCCCTAGCCATCCAACCCCACGGTCCGAGCCCACCTCCTCATTCCCCTGCCCTTCCCAACCCCACCAACAGGGTCTGCTGCCCAACCGGCTGCGGGCAGTGTGTGTGGCGCACGCCCTCACACGCGCCTCAGGCCTCTCCGTGCGCCTGCACTGGCGCCAGCACATGCTGCTCCCCCCCACCGCCACTCGCACAGACACCCTCACAGCCACAGGATCAGGGATAGGCCCAGGCAGCTTGACTGGTAGCGGTGTGGGCGGTGTGGGCGGTGTGGGTGGTGTGGGCGGTGTGGGCGCGGGTTTGGTGGCGGCGGCGTTTGATGACTTGCTGATGCCGCTGCCGGGCATGACAGTGGACGTGCGCGAGGAGGTGGTGGCGCTGCCGGGCGAGCAGGGCAAGGCAGGGTTTGCAAGCACAGATGCGGGCGCTGGAGGTTTCAAGCCTCCTGCTGGCTTCGTGCTGCAGAAGGTATGTGTGTGTGTGGCGCTGCTCTTGTTGCTGCTGCTTCCTGGTGGTAGCGGTGGTGGTGACAGTAGTATTGGTTGATTATTTCAACCACTGCTTCTTGGTGGTAGCGGTGGTGGTGACAGACTGACAGTACTGATTGATGGTTTCAACCACCTGCTGCCAGTGGTACGCTGGCAGCGATCTCAAGCTCATACATCTCAGTCCCGTTTCGTGATCTTCCTCTCGTCAGCCCGTCCTGACAACCTGTACATTCCACTCACTGGCCCCCTTCCTGTCCCTCTCCAACTCGCTCTCTCCTCCCCGCTTCTCTCCTCTCTTCCGTTCCCTCCCACCTACATTGCGTCCCCCACCCATTCCGTTCCCTCCCACCCATCACTTCGCTCCACCTCACAGCTGCCAGTGGAGGCGCCTGCGTGTGGCCCGGCGCCCTTCCACCAGCGCCAGCACGGCCCCATCCTGCTATACCTCTCCTCGCCTGCTTCCCACTCGCGCCAACTTGTCAGTTACCCCTTTCCACACACTCCTGCTCCTACCCTTCCGGCTCCCCTCTTTCCCGCTCCCACTTTCGCTCGTACACACTCCTCCGTTTGATTCGCTGCGAGCCAAACCATGCACTCATTTAGGAACCACAAAACATATTGTGTGGTCTTTCAATCTGCATTCAACAACCGTGCTTCCATTTTCTCCTCGTGCAAGCCTTAATAGCTGTGTGCTTTCTGCTCAAGCCTCCCTCCCTGTTGTTCCTTCCTCTCAATCCACGGCCCTCCATCGTCAATTTGTTCCCTTTCCTTTGCTCTGTGCGCCTCCCTTTTCTCTGATACCCACCTTTTTTCTCACCCACTTACCCCCAAGTTGCTCCCTTGTCACCCCTCTCACCTTCTCTCACCCTCTCTCACCATCTCTCACTCCTTCTCAACATCCCTCACCCCCTCTCATCTCCTCTCAACGCCTCTTACCCTCTCTCAACCCCTCGCACCCCCCCTTGTAGCAAGAGTGCATACAGGGTATCATCAACGCCACGTCAGCCTGCCAGCTGGCGGCGCCTCTCAAGACGTGCTACAGCCAGCTGGCACCGGCGGCACCCGTGGAGCAGCTCATGGCCAATGAGAACATGACACGTGTGCACGAGTCCACCGGGGTGTACTTTGAGGTGCGGTGGGGAGTCAATGGGTGTTTGTTTGTGGGGGCGATTGGGCTGGGGCTGGGGCAGGAGTGGGTGGTTCTACGTGGGGTTGTGTTGAGGGGGTGCAGCTGTGCTAGTATGCTCATTGTGCATGTCTTGTGCTTTTGAAAATTCTCTTGAGAGTGTTGAAAGGATATCCAATCCAATGTACCTGTGCTTGTGGTTGGCGCTTCCTCTCCTCTGTTTATGTTACAAACACCCGCAAGTCCCTCTCCTCCGCTCTCCCGTCCTTCCCCCCACCCCCCTCCCGCTCCTCTCTTCCTTCGCTTCCTCAGGGCCCCACGTCATCCCCAGTGCTATACGGCGGCTTCCTCTGCCCGGCGCCATGGGTGCTCAACTGCTCGCTGCATCGCCTGCTGCACCGCATGCTGCACGCCCCCTCCGCCACCTTCACCACAGCCTCCTTCTTCCCCTCTTTCTCCACCGTCCTCTCCCGCGCCCTGCACCCCTCACGTCTTCCCATCCTGCTCGCTGCCTCCGCGCGCCGCTACACGCTCTGCTCCTTCTTCCGCCCGCCCTCCCTGCCCATCCGCCCCCCCCAGCCGTCGATCAGTGAGTGGAACGAGAGGCGGAGAAGCAGGCAGCAGCAGGAGGGGTATTCTAGGGAGGAGGGGGTGGTGGGAACATGGATGGATGGGGGAGGAGAGGGAGGGGCAAGGAGAGGGGGAGAGGGAGGGGGAGGGGAAAGGGGGCGTGGTGGAGGGAGCAAGGCGGGAAGCAGGCCAGGAGTGGCCGTGGACTTGGGGCTTTCAGCAGTGGAGAAACAGCGAGCGGCCAGTGGGTTTGCCAGGTGCGTGGGTGATCTCTATCATGCCGTGTGTATGTCACACAGGGGGGTGGGGATGCTGTTCGTCTGTTCTTGCTTCACAAGGCAGCTCCTCCAGTTCCTCCCTCCCGCCCGCAGTGTCCCTCTTTTGAGACTTCTCAAAACGCAGTTCCTCCCTCTTCAGGGCGGGATGTACCATTCGTTTTGTACCACAATTTCAACTCGTGTCTCCGTCCGCCCATTGCCCATCATCAACATCGTCCCACTCTCTCCTGATGTCCTCCCACAACCTACAACCCCCATTCCCCCTGTGCCTCCGTGCCTCCACCACCACCTGTCACCCTCTCCCCCCCAACAGCCCTACCAACGCCTCTCGTCGTGCCACAGCGGGACCCAGAAGGCGTCTGCTGCAGGCTCAGAAGCCCGGGGCTGGCGGTGCAAAGAAGGTGGCGGGCGGGAAGCCTGGCGGGGTGCTGGGGGGTGGTGCAGCAGGTGCTGGCAGGAAGGGCAAGACATTTCCTCTGGACGTCGCCAGGCAGTGCGACCAGCTGTGGGTGCGTCGCTGCGTCCCTGCGTCGCTGTGTATTGTGTTGTGTCGCTGTTGAGAGGGGCTCCCAGGCTGGGAGGTTGGCTGGTGTGGTGTGCTGTGGTGGGGTTTCGGTGCTGTGTTCTGTGCTGTGCGTGAGTGGTCGAATGCATCTTGTGAGTGTTTCTGCCTCGCTTTCACATTGCCATGCGCGCACCTGCAACCCTTCACCAGGAGCCCTCAGCAGTTCTAGTGAAGTGAAGGGTAACCGTTGTGTTTTGAGACGTTACCACCGCTGTTCCTTCTCATACCCACATGCACTCACTCCCCACTGCACTCCTCCTTTCATTAAACCACTCACCCAACTCTCTTCACAGCTATCCCCAAAACGCCCACTCCCTGTCCCCCCGCCCTCCCGTCCCTCCTCCCACCAACCCCACCACCCCTCCCCCCCCCCCCCCCCCCCTTCTCTTTTTCACTTCCCCCGCCTCCCATCAGCTGGCAGAGCTGTTCACACTGGGGCGCACGCGGGCTCTGCTGCATCTGGCGCGCTCCATAGAATCCGACTTCAATGCCAGAACCCATCCCCCACTCCCCGCCCTTCCGCCCCTCCCCCCCTAACCACCCCCACCTTCGCCCTCCCTCCCCTCTTGCTCCCTCCACTGCTCGCCAGTTAGCGGAGCTGTTCACCCTGGGGCGCACGCGGGCACTGCTGCACCTGGCGCGCTCCATAGAGTCCGACTTCATCGCCTCCCAGGCCGCCGCAGCCGAGGCAGCAGAGCGACTGGAAGCAGAGGCAAACGCCGTGCTGGCAGGGATCGATGTGTTCCTTGCGCTGTACCACAACGAGGGGGGTGATGGGAAGGGGGGGAGTGGTGGTGCTGCTGGGGGGGCTGGTGCTAAGGGGAAAGGAGGGAGTGGGGGGGGTGGGGCGTCGCGGTTTGCGCTGCTGCCGCTGATCCCCAGCACGGCCCAGGCCACTAGCTTGTTCTCGAAGAGCACTGTGGCGCATCAGCTTATAGTGGATGGTGAGTGGGATGGTGAGTGGGATGGTGAGTGGGATGGTGAGTGGGATGGTGAGTGGGATGGCTCCTCCACAAATCGCTCTCAACCACACACAATCATTCTGCGTCCCTCTTCCTCCCCATCTTCTCCACCCCCTTCTCCCCGCTCCCCCTTCCCTCCCCTGCCCCTCCCTTCCCCCTCCCTTCAATCTCATTCCGCTCTCCCCTCCCTCCCTGGTTCTTCCCTCAGAGCGTCTGAACGCCATGTACTGCTTCAGTCCCCAAGGTGGCTTGTACAAGCTTGCTCTCCACTCCCTCACCTCGTCTTCCCCTCCCTCCTTCCCTCCTTTCCCCCCGACGTCTACCCGAGCGCCTCAACGCCATGTACTGTTTCATCCCCAAGGTGCCCTGCACGAGCTTCTTGTTCACTCTCTTTCCCCTTTTCCCCTCCTCCCCTGCTGCTCCCCCCCTCAGAGCACCTCAACGCCATGTACTGTTTCATCCCCAAGGTGGCATGCACGTCGTGGAAGGTGTGGTTCCGCACGTACCACCGCCTGCCCAACCCCGCCAGCGTGGACTGGGCGCACGCACCCGGCGCCAACGGCCTCCCCGAGCTCTGGTTCGCCTTCGACGAGGCGGCAGCGCTGCGTGCGCTTTCCGATAGAAGGCTGTTCCGGTTTGTGTTCCTGCGGGATCCGTTTGCGCGCGTGGCGTCGGCGTATTTGGATAAGCACGTGGCGGGGGGCGTGGGGAGCAAGGGGCGGAGAGCGAGTGGGAGCGAGGAGAGGATACTCAAAGGGCGCCAGCAGTGGAACATGGTGCGTGCTGCCGGCGCGCCTATCGCTCGCTGTCTTGCCTACGAGTACCTCTTCTTCATATACTAATCTGCTGACCACCACAATTGTTTAGGCACCTATAAGATCGCTCTTTCAGTTGGTGAACTGACTTCTTTGTGATTCCGATTTCCTCTCCCTTCTCTCTTCTGCTCCGCCCACCCAACCCTCTCATCTCCTTCGTCCCAACTCTCCCCACTCTCCCATCCCCATCTCGCCCCCCCTCACTCCATCCCGTCCCCCCCCCCAGCTCTTCTTCGGCCGGGTACCGAAGCTGCTAGCGCAGCTGGCGAACCCGGTGTCCCACCTGCTGTCCTTCCGTGACTTTGTCTACCTCATCGAGCGAGTGCCCAAGGACTGGCTTGAACCACACATCGCACCGCAGGTGGGGGCAGGAGAGCAAATTCTGGTTTAGTTGGGGCGAGAGGAAGAGGTCGCTGGTCGGTTGTGCTGTGAATCTGCTGCTCTGTCCTTTCTGCTGCTGCAGTCGCACTGTGGAAGAGCCTACTCTGGTGTCTTCAGCATTCCACTGCAATTATTTCTGCCATGTCCACCACCATGTCCACCACCATGACTGCTTTCTTACTGATCCCAACAATTCGTGGAGTTCCTCATCCTCTTGGGCACAGCTTAGCCAATTGACGCTGTGCTGCTAGAGTGGACAACTAGTGACACTCCCTCCATCTTATTCTTGCATCTGTCGACCTGGCACAGCTCGCACAACCTCGTAATAACCACATGTACCTAGCCATACCTCACCAGGCATCTTCTCACACAACTGCCATGCGCTGTACCTGACACCATGCATGCGAGCACCATGCTCTCTTGCCTTCGCACTTGCCTGCACTCTTGCCTGCTTGCACACCACCAGTTTTTCCAAGTCAGCTCAACAAGGAACCCAGTCCCTACTCTTCCCCTCCGCTCCCCTGCACACGCACGCCTAACCTCCCCACCCCTGTCCCTCCGCAGGCACGCCTATGCGGGCTGCATGACATCAAGTACGGCTTTGTCGGGCGCCTGGAGTCACTGGAGCGAGATGCTGCCGCTGTGTCGTGTGGCGACTCATAGGTCACCAGTAAATTCCTAGTAAACTAAAGCAAAACCCTAGGCTTTCCTCCCTCTCTCCCTTGCGCCCACACAACTGACCACAGGCACGCCTGTGTGGGTTGCACGACATCAAGTATGACTTTGTGGGGCGCCTGGAGTCCCTGGAGCGAGATGCCACTGCCGTGCTGCACCGCCTGGGTGACCTGCCCTCCTACAGCCTCTTCTCCTCCCCCACCTCTGCTGCCTCGCTCGCTGACGCCGATGCTGCTGCCGACCCTACTACTCTCGCTCTCGCCATGAGTGCTGCAACTGGCGCTGCTGGTGCTACTGGTGCTGCTGGCGCTGGTGGCGCTGCTGGTGCTGCAGGCAGCAAGGCGCAGCTGGGAGTGGGGCAATTCCACGTGACCAACGCAGCGAGCAAGCTGCTGGAGCTATACGATAAGGTACCACACCCCGACCACTTGCATTCCTCTCAAAGCACGTACCCAGGCCACTTCCATTCCACTCAAAGCACATACCCGGGCCACTGCCTTTCATCCTCCGCCTCCACCTTTTGCCCTCCTCTCTTCCTTCCACCTCCTTCGTCCGTCTTCTCTTCTATTCCACGCCTCCATCCCTCTATGCATCGACCCTGTATCTCCCTTATGAGCCCCTATGTCTTGTTTACCCTTGATGTATTCTGGATACTTGTTCCGCATGCTTCACATGCCTCAAGGCTCTTTCTTGTGCTGCAATGTCAGCATGCATCTCTTTTGGTTATCCGCCTCCACTCCACCAGTCCACGTGATGCTTTCCGCACACCTTCCCACTCTCCGCCTACTCTCCTACTCTCGTACCCTCCCACTCTCCTCCTAATTTCCGACTCTCCTACTTTCCTGATACTCTCCTCCCACCCTCCTCTTACTCGCTTGTTCCTGTTCTGCGCCTAGCTACTTGGTCGTGTTTTTCTGTTACCCTAATCTTGCATCACAGCTGCAGTTTGTGTATCTTCCGATTCATATTTCTATAGACACGTACTGTTGCTACTTGTCTTCCGTTATCCCCCCCTTCACTGCCTCCTGCCTCTCGGTCTCCCACAGGAGACGTATGAGCGAGTGAAGCGGATATACTGGGTGGATCTGAGCATCCCTCTCAACAATATCACTGCAGACATCCCCCGCTTGTTGAGAGATAAGTTTGAATCGCCCAAGAAAGCGCCTACAAAGCACTGACAGGAGTCAAGAGTGCAGTGCAGGACAAAATGTTGCTCAATATTTTGTTACGGTAATTATGTCTGGTCTTACGGTATGTGTATGGCAATCAAATTTAGTGTTGTATTGTATGCTCGTCTTGTTATTCGTCAAAATGGGTGTATGGTCTCAGAATCTAAACACAACGGAATGTATGAACTAGCAAAGTGTTGGATACAAATAGGAAACCCTAGCATCTGTTCTGTACCTCTAGAATGCAACTCACTACAGCCTATAACTAGTATATTTGACACACCCCCATAGGCTAAGTGAGGGGCATCAAAAACAAGCAAGGCGGAGAAACGGTCACAAGACCAGTCAGCAAGAAGCAAGGCAAGCTCAGGGTGGATCTCAAGGACACCATACAAATTCCGAGCACAAGCAAGCGGCCACAACGCCAGTTCAAGAGTTCACTAGGATATATATAGGAAAGTACAATAAGCAGAGCAAGCAACAAGACTACAGCAACCGAGGGCCTACCTCAACAAGCCCCAACTGCACACAGAACTTGTGGTGGTCACCAAGCGCTAGGGCCTTGGTGAAGACGTCTGCAGTGTTGGCCTCTGAGGCCACAAAGTCCAGGCCTGCCTGGCCGCGTCGCTGCAGCTCTCGCAGGAGGAAGTACCTCACGTCAATGTGCTTCACTCTGCTCTCCAGTCGAGGCTCTCGACAGAGGAGGATCATGGCCTTGTTGTCAGCGTACAAGGTCGGTGCAGAGCGAGGCCGCTCACCAAGGTCGGCGAGCAAGAAGGTCAACCAGCGAAGCTCCTGTGCCGCCATGGCACCAGCGTAGATCTCTGCCTCTGCGCTGGAAGTAGCCACAGACGACGACCGTGTAGACCTCCACGACACAGCACCAGCTCCCAGACTGAAGCAGTAACCCTGAGTCGAGCGCTGAGTCTCCACGTCGTTAGCGTAGGAAGAGTCGCAGTGACCAGTCAACGCCACTGGCTGAGTCCCTCCAAGCATAAGCCCCATGCCTGATGTAGTCGCCAGGTACTTCGCCACCCTCACAGCAGCTGTCCAGTGGACAGGACGGTGTCTCCCAGTCGCAACAAAGCGAGAAAGGATGCTAAGGGGAAAGGCGAGGTCCGGCCGAGTACAAGTCATCAGGTACATGAGGCAGCCCAACAGCTCTGCGTAGGGACCACTGGACTCAAAAGGCTCGTCCGGAAAGGGGCCGGTAAGTCTGTGGTCAACCGCAAGAGGTTTGGGCTGTGTGGTGGAGAACTGGAAGTCGAACCGCCGAAGGACCTGCTGCACCATGTGTGACTGAGTCAGTGTGATGGTGCGAGCGGCTCTGTCCCTGGTGATCTGCAGGCCAAGGTAGCGCTGCAGTTCACCTAGGTCAGTGCACTTGTGTCTCTTCTGCAGTTCGGACTTCACCTGAGCCAAAGCTGCCATGTCTGCTGTAGCAAAGACCAAGTCGTCGACGTAGACAAGGATGAAGAAAGGAGTGGAACCAGCCCGAACAAACAGCGACGGGTCGGCGGATGAGGGACTAAACCCAAGGTCACGAAGCGTGGAGCAAAGAGTGTCGTGCCACTCACGGGGCGACTGGCGGAGACCGTAGACTGGCCGCCTCAGGCTCCACTGGGTCCCAAGTGGGAAGGTGTCAGTGAAGCCAGGAGGGCGGTGCAGCCAGATCTCCTCGTGTAGTCGGCCCTGGAGAAACGCAGTGGAGAAGTCAAGGGAGTGCAGCTCGTAGTCTCGCTGTGCTGCTATGTGCAGTAACACCCGAAGAGTAGTCATCTTCGGGGTCGGGGCGAAGGTCTGGAAGAAGTCAACTCCCTCACGCTGACTGAAACCCCTAGCCACGTAGCGCGCCTTGAACACACGCGGTGAACCAGGCGGCCGCTTCACCTTGAAGAGCCACATGCCATCGACTACGTTTGCCCTGGGAGGGGGAACTGCGTCGACGTAGGTGCCTGTGGATCTCCAAGAGGCTAACTCCGATGCCATAGCCGCTTTCCACTGAGAGGCCCACGCCCCTGACACTGCCTCGCGGTAAGTACGAGGAGTCGGTATGTCAAGGGCGTCGGGGTCTCCCTCAGGGGATAGCAGCATGGCACAGACAGAGGGAGAAGCGGTTGCCCAGTACTCCAGCTCAGACTCTCTGTCCTCTAGGACGTCACAGCCAAGGACCAACTCAGAGGACATGAGGGAGGAGCTGGCACCACACGGGTGGCATAGTCAAGGCGGCTGGCGGCAGCAAACTCAGCGACAGCGGCAGTGAGAGCCGAGACAGACGACGGAGGGAAACGAGAGTCGGTGACAAGAGTGGCGAGGACACGGGAGACAACAGGACGAACAACACGGTAGTAGTCAGTGATAGGGGTAGGGGGGACAGGGAGAGAAGACGGAGGAGGAGACAGGAGAACGGACTCAGGAGGAGGACGACGAAGAGACGAACAAAGGAGGGCAGTGCGGAGGTCGGTAACGGGAGACGAGTGACGAGCACGCGGAGGACAGGGACGGACACGAGAGTGTGGGACAACTGGTGGAGGAGATTGCGGTGGAGGAGAAGACCAGACCGCCGAACTATCGTCAGGAGGAGGAAACGTGGGACCAAACGCTGGAGGGGACGGAGTGTGAACAGGAGGAGAGGAGGGAAGACCAAGGGCCCGAAGGCCACTCACGGGTGGGAACAACTGCCGCTCCAGAGGGAGCTGCGGTGGTCGCAGCGGCGGCGGTGGTGTCTGCTGCTGCGGCTGCGGCTGCTGCTGCTGCCGCTGCTGCTACTGCTGCTGCTGCTGCTGCTGCTGCTGCTGCTGCTACTGCTGCTCCAGCAGGTCCAACTGCCGCAACTCCTGCCGCTCCCTCTCCAACAGCACCTGCTCCTCATGCTCACGCCGACGGGCCGCCTGGAGACGCGTGTCGTGGCGGTGGGGAGGCGGAGTGGACTCCGCAGAACCAGTGTCTCCAGCTCCAGTCTCCTCAGAACTAGCACCTCCAGTGCCAGCGCCTCCAGCACCAGCAACCCCAGAACCAGCACCTCCAGCTCCAGCACCCCCACAACTAGCACCTCCTGTGCTAGGACCTCCAACTCCAGCACCCCCAGAACTAGCACCTCCAGTGCCAGCACCTCCAGCTCCATCACCCCCAGAGCTAGCGCCACCAGCGCCAGCACCTCCAGCTCCAGCACCCCTCGAACGAGCACCCCCAGACCGAGGACCGCCAGCGGCTGCACCTCCAGCTCCAACACCAACCGAGTCCACAGTAACCTGTCGCGGAAGTGCCGAAGGCTGCTGAGGGGACTGTGAGGAGGAATGCGGGGAGGGAGACGCGACCTGACGCGCGACCGAAGGTAGAGGGGTAGCGTGGGACACACCAGACGGGGCAGGACCAGTGGGGGGCGGGGGTACCGGAGAAGCGGGAGCAGGAGGAGGAGAGGGTGCGAGGAAAAGAGGGGGAGGCGGTACCGGGAGACCTCGACAGGGGTACCGGGTGTAGTAGGACACAGACTCGTCAAACCGGACGTCACGGGAGTCTAGGAACTGGTGGAGGGGCGGGTGGTAAAAGGACCAGTCGGCAGAGTCCACTGGGAAACCAAGAAAAACACAGGGGACGGCGCGTGCCGAGAGCTTGTCCGTGGAGGTGTCGCGAACAAGCGCAAGGCAGCCCCAGACACGAAAGGCCGACCCAACACCAGGGGAACCGGTCCAAAGACTGGTCGGTGAAGCCTCGGGCCGCGAGACACGCGGCTGGAGGTTCAGCTGGTGTGCGGCATAGCGAACCGCGTAGGGCCACAGAAAATGGGGCACACGGGCATGGATCATGGACGTGCGAGCA